GTGTTGTGGTGCTCCCAAATGAGATGGTCACTTTCAATAGGGGAGATCTCGGCCCTAAGGATAGCATCCGCGTCTTGAGCTTGAAAAATGCCTCCGACCTTATCACTTTTCCATCTCGGAACGTATTGGATCATGAAATTTTTGCACAACATGGGTCGCTCTTCGTTATCAACATAGTTGCAAGAGAAACAAATCTGTTTCGCTCCTCCCCAACGGTCATAGTGGACTTGAGTATGACTGTTGAATCGGACCCTCCAAAAGAATCCGTCCTTGAGAGCCTCCTTCGCTTGAAAAATACTAGACCATGCGAAAGACGCCCTGTTCCCAAGCTTTGCATCAAGAAAATAGTCATTTGGGAAATACTTGGCCTTGTAAATTTTGAATAAAAGGGATCATGGAAGACTCCATGAATAAGGAAAGGCAATAAATATTGTTAAATGAGTTTTAATATATTGGTGGATTTGTAATAGTGTGCATATTGGAATATTCCTTTGATATTTTGGGGTTGTTTTCATGACATGATGAATGTTGCATGATGCAAGAGTTGTTGCATGATCATGGTAATGTATAGTAACGGGGTCGATTAATTTGATTATGGGAGCTATATTATTAAATGCATGTTTAGGGAAGTAAGTCCATTAATCACTATGATTCCTGATAAGGCAAAGCGATGTCTATAGATTCACAAATGATACATAATTCAATGAATGCGTAGACCAAAAGGTTCAACAAACCTCAAATTAGCAGTTTAAAGCTCAAATTAGGGTTTTAGGAATTTGGGATCTTTGGAGAGGAAGCTGGTCACCCTGGAGGCTATCTTGTGTGGTAACAAATAGTGTCAATTCAACCGGTTAATATGTCGCATCAGCATTATGTCACCCTAATAATGGTTGTTAATATCAAATGACTAATTTATTATAAATCGATAATTTTAATGATCAAATCGTTAATTCTGAAACATCAGTCGAAAAAGATAAACTTACTCGAACATGAGTATTCTTTCATATAGTTACTCAAAACCCTTAAAATATTTATTTATAGGCTTCAAGAAATCTTAAAAAAAAGAAGAAAAACGAGTTATTTTTTAAATTAATGTTTGATTTACTTGAAGATAAAATATTGCTTTTACTTAGTTACAAAATAACTTAAACTCAAAGAAAACAAATTGTAAAATAAAATAAATGATAATTTTGATCCTAAAGTATTTAAAATAAATAATGGATTTTTTTAGTTTAACTTAATTATAAATAATCAATATAAAAATAATAAATAATAATAATTAAAAAGAATCTCGTATTAGATCTATATTTAGTTTTTTGTCTGCACTATCTTCGTTGAAACATACATGTCATGAGTTTTCGATGTTTGATTAAAACATTTTAAGATGGTTTAGAAAGATAACTAACTTACAATCAATTTATTAAAAGACGCCTCAACTCAAAAATATTTGAATCACAACTAAAATATCATTACAAATCAATTAATATATTTTTTTAAAAAAAATATCATCTCAAATCAATTGATAGTTTAATTTTTAAAATTTAATTAAGTGACCGGCGTCACATTTATTTTTTATTTTTTTATTTTTCTAAAATTTTAAAAATATTATTCATTTTAAAAAATTCCGCAATTTTTTTCTAAAATATATAAAAAATCAAAACTCCTTAAAAGTTTAATTTCAAACCTTCATGACCATTACTGCCTGTCGTCGTTGTTGTCGAACGACCACCCATTTACCGCCAATCACCCACTAATCGGCCACTGCCTTTTCCTTCTTCTTAAACCCTAAAAACCCAATATTCAAATCCTTCCCATTGGGCAACACCCCAATCCCAAGAGGCAATGTTGCAATCAAACAGTTGATGAAATGGATGGATGAAACCAAACCAACATGGACGCAATGAATAGACGAAGTCAAAAATGATTTCAAAGTCGATGTTGGGGTTTCGGCTAGTTAGTAGCTTTGGTAGCGGTCAACGACAGGAAAGGATTAGGGTTTAGGATTATGATTTTCAAAATTTTGGGGTACTTTTTAAGACTTGAGAAAATTTTGGCCAATAGAGTTGAGATGCCTCTACTTTACTTTAACTAAAGTAAATTCTCTGCTGTCTCTCCATTGTCTGGCCAAAGAGAGTCGAGAAGTCTTTGCTCTGGCAATAAGAGTCTTTCCATTGCTACTCACAGAGCATTGATATGCCACCACCCCCATCTGCATTGTTTTTTATAGAGAGCGTTGAGATCCTCCGTTATATATTTAGCATTGAGATGCCTTTGTTCCTCCTACAGTGTTTTTCTAAGGGTATCGTCTTCCACTCTAGCTTAAGGAATTCTTTAAAGAGTGTTAAGAAATCTTTGCTTCAGCAATATTAATTTCTCCACTACTTTTAGAATGTCAAGATGCATTTTCCCTAGCAAAAGGAATCCCTTATTGCTTCTTCCAAGGCATAGATGTCTCTGCTCATTCTACAATGTTTCTCCAGAGAGCTTCAACATGTCTTCGCTCATTTTGTAGTGTTTCTCCAAGGGTGTAGAGCTACCTCTTCCCTTGTTGAGAGCTTCAAGATACCTCATCTCAATCCTAGCTAAAGGGACTTTTTTCATTATCTCTCCATTGTTTGGCCAAAGAGAGTCGAGATGCCTTTGTTATGGCTATAGGAATTTATCCATTGATCCTACAAAGCGTCGAGATGCTGCCATTTTTTTCATTACCTCTCCGAGAGTGTCAAGATCCTCTGCTACATATCTAGCGTTGAGATGTCTCCTTTCCAAATTCCTCATTGTCTCATTAGAGCATCGATAATCTTCTTTTGTAAGTCTTGGTTTAAATCACTTTATGACATTTTCTCGATCAAGGGGAAAAAGTGTTGTACCTCCTCTAAACCTCCATTGCTATTATTCTTTCGCCTATCAAACCCTAAAACCACCAGAGTTTCATATCTTTCGACTAGTTACAATCTCTTGGCATAACTACTAACATACTCACATGATCTACCAACTAAATATACTATGTGACACTCATATCTATTTACCAAGTCAACCTATAAATAATCATCACCGTAGGCTTGACACCAACACTGAAGACATATATAAATCATCACACAAAGCTAGAAAAGAGAATGTCATACATTCCCTATCTCTATGACTTTTCGTCAAAATCAGAAGGGATGATGCAGACAAAAGAGGGAAAGAAAGCCTACCATCTATTACCAAATTAAGCAAATATTATTGCTTATGGCGTGCGGCTGGGAAGTGAATATATAAAAATATCCATAATTTCGGCAGTTTCCGTCAGAGAAATGAAACATGAAACAAGAAGTATTCAAGATTGCAAATATAAAACATTAAATAGAGTAAACGTTTAAAACAAGAACGAGTTGATTTAACACTAATTAAGCCATTGGTAACAGCCTAGCATTAGCTTTCAACCTTGAATAATCTCCCCAAGTAGGCTAAACCGCGTCGATGCTTCCATTCCCTCTAATTGATTAATCATTTATCTAACAAGCTTACCAGAAACGGGTTGCAGCACCGAGTATTGAAATTGCCGTGGATCACCAGGGATAGTGACAATTGAAAAGATTACGACAAACCAGGTTGTTTCATGTCAGTCATGGAGGCAACTGTTTCGATCAATCCTAATCTCACCACACGTTGTCTTTGTCTTTGCCTGGAACCAGTTCTTTCAATGGACATCTTTGTTTTGTCTCCAGTATAAAACCCAACACCCAACTTCCTTTTCGTTTTCAGATTGTCCTGCAACAAAACCACAGCTTGGAAGCATTGACGAAATGAAGCTAGTTTGGTCACCTGAGACAGCGTCCAAGGCATATATTGATACTGTTAAACTTGTAAGCATTAAATAAGCAAGCTTCTGATATTAATTCTCTGATGTCTGCTGATTGGTTTCATTTGATTTGCAGTGTGAACTTTATCATGATTCTGGTGTAGCGGAGCTTGTTTCAGCCATGGCAGCAGGCTGGAACGCGAGATTCATTTTGGAGACATGGTCGCATGGTGTAGCTACCGCAACGAGCATCGGCCTGGCGGTTGCTAGCAGCCATACGGATGGAGGACATGTATGTATAGTCCCTGATGAAAGATCGAGGCTAGAATACATTCAGACCCTTGAAGTGGCCGTCATGTCACCGAAAGTGATTGTTGGAGAACCTGAGGAGTTAATGAGTCGATTAAACGGAATAGATTTTGTGGTGGTGGATAGCCAGCGAAAGCGACTTTTCCAGGGTATTGCAGCTAGCAAAACTGAGCAACAAGGGAGCTGTTATGGTATGCAAGAATGTTAATTCCAGATGAGATTTGAATTTCAGTTGAAGTGTCATCGACGATGGATCACGCAAGCGTACATTCCATGTTTCTTCCAGTAGGGGAAGGATTGGACATCGCACATGTAGCAATCGGTGGTGGAAATTCCGGTAAAAGGCGGTGGATCAGACATATTGATCAACAATCAGGGGAAGAATATGTAATTAGAAAGTAGAATTATCTCCAATTACTCTAGAACATGTTCATAATTTTCAAGCTTATAATATTTAAATGACAATGTCAAAATTAACCCACAATATTTATTAAAATGATCATTTTGACCCATATTCTTTTAGGAGCATTTTGGATCCCAACATTTTGACCCATATTCTTTTAGGAGCATTTTGGACCCCAACATTCAATGTAGGAAAAAAGACCCCTAATGTTTGAACAAATAGTCACTTTGACCCCTTTTTTCTGAAGCATTTCAACCCTCAACGTTTCATTTTAAGGTAAAAAAACTCTTATTTTTGAACGTTAACTATTTGTAAACTAGTGGTTTTCATCTATAGAGGGGCCTTTTACTACAAAATGAAAAGCTAGGGGTTATAATGCTAAAAAAACGAATATGAGCAAAATTGACTGTTTAATCAAACATTGGGGGCCTTTTTTGACATTATGCCTATTAAAATCACTTTATTGAATCAATTAATAAGGGTTTCAAGGAGATTTTACCACCCATATTTTCTACTTTCTACAATCTATTTCTCATCTCATCTTTCCTTCCTACATGCAAAGAAGCAATTATGTACATGGCAACGATTATTTGCTAAAAGACCCTATGACAGTAAATCTCTTAAATATCATTAACTATGGCAAACATAAACATGTAATCAAAATTTTTTGTGTGTAATATCTTATAACAATTATAAGCCTTTAACAGCCTATAATATTACACTGACACGAGATGGTAGTTCTTTTGCCCCACCATGAAATTTTTTAAGGACAAAGCACTCCTTTAAGCTCCGTTCCTAGCTGCCTGCTTCTCCAATGAGAATTGATGATCTTCAAACACTATATAAAGTTATAAACTTTACCAGTCATGATGACATGATTTATTCCCAACTGTCCCGGCTTCTTCTAAATGCTTTCTTGTCGGAAAGGACCTTCTTGCTTTTAAGGCGTTTTTTCTCCCCGATTGCAGCCCTGCAAGATGCATTGAAACGCAAATAAATTGCAATCCGATCGAATTACAAGGAATCTGTTTGAAAAAATGTGATGAAGACTGGAAACTGCCACTAGTAAATGTGACGAAGACTTACATCTTTGCGATTTTCTTCTTCTGCTCTTCTGATGGGGGTGGTGGCACATAAGCAGCAGCATCAATGATTGCCTGTTTGGTTTGAGCAAAAAGGGCAAGAACATGAGAAAGTCAATCACCATGTTCAGAAATCAAAAGATCAACAGCAAATCATACAATTGCAAAGTATGACACTAAAGCAAATGAAATGTGTTCAACTGCATCTTTGATGGATAACAACAAAAAACTAGGCATGGCAGTTTGCTAATAGCAGAAAATTATAATTGCTAGAGAGAGATTGTTTCAGCACCTGTAGTTTTGCCAGAGCATCATCAATGTTTCCCCTGAACAAAATATAACTCAAATGAATACATATTTAATGGATTAAAAGAAAACTGAACAGAAAAAAGAAACAGGGAGAAAAACAAACTTCTGTGTCCTGGTTTTTGTTGACGATACCACGATTTCTCCATCCTTGTTTATCCGGTTTTTTTCCTGTTCATAGTGAGTTGAGGTCAGTGAGAGGAGAATTCCTCGAGAAAACGATATAGGGAAATCTAAACAGCAAGCATATGTGCATTAAAGGGTCAGTACAAACATGTGGAATTATGTGACTTTGGTTAAAGCTCCCTAGTTGAAGACTCTAATTCATAGTAGTCGGATCAGGGTCATCTCTCGTATCCAACGAGCATTTTCAGTACTCAAACTTGAGCACTTTCATCCATGTTGAAGATGTTTTTAGCTCATTTCCACTCATTCAACTAAGCATACACTCAAGTTCAAAAGAAATTCTTAGAAAACCATGAATTTCATCCATATACAGCCTGATCATTTTCTTGCCAAATTTAAGGCCTCCAATCATAAAATGTTTTCTCTTTTTCTTCTATCTTTAACAAGTTCCCAGTATACTTGCCATTTAATTTCCCTTAAAATAATCCTGAATTAGCTATGGACTTTCCCTTTTTACTGTTATGTTTGTTTAGCCATGATCTCCTGAAAACAATTTTGAAATTACTACTATATAGAAGCTACATTGCTTGTTGATACAAGCATTACTGCACAAACAATATCAGGGTTGTAAAATAAATCAATGCACAACCAATCAGTAGGATCTCGATGAAGACATTCCAGTTCTTATCTTGATGGAAAATGAGTAATCTTTAAAAACAATAGATGACAACAACAAACCAGTTGCATAATCCTCTCTCTGATCCTATCACTTAGCCAATAAGCCTGTTTTACATTGAACCGCATGTCCACCTTGGTGTTAACTGAACATTCAGCAGCAAAAGTAATCCACTATAAATCTTGGTAACAAAGTATTGAGGGACTATAATGAAATGGACTCTGAAACATAAAGAAGATACACTACCCTTGTTTACATTTTGACCACCAGGGCCACCACTCCTTGCAAAACTAACGGAAACATGATCTGTGAAGAGTTATTCAAGCGTAAATCAGCATATAAAATCCGCACAATGGTTAAAAATAAGGGTAAACTACATATTTAGTCAATCAAATATCACTTTGATTCCGTTTTCGTCATTCAACTATTTTTTTCTTTCTTTCAAAATCATACCTAAATTTCAATTTGATCATCCGTTGTTAAAAAAAATAGAACTGTGAAAAAATAATAGTAGGATGACTAAAACAAAACTAAAGTGATAGTTGGGTGACTAAATAGGTAGTATAGTCTAAAAATAATGATTTTTAAATCTATTGGAGGATAACGATGGAAGAGAATGAGGATTCAACTAATGGCCGGGTAACGAAATAGCAGCTGCTATATAGCGGCATCGATAAAATTAGAAATTATTATTAGGTAAATAACGATATGAAACAAAATTACACCAATAATACTCGATCAAGGCTGTAATTAGCGGCCAATTACGGCAGTAACGGGCTGTTATTCCCATTTCCCACTATTCTTCTAGTATTCAAAGTCGTTTTTTGAAAAAAAAGTAGCTCATTTTAAAAAAAAATCAACTCCTTTAAAAAATTTAACAACGGTGATCATGACCATAATAACATCTGTTATGTCCTCAACTACAATAAGACTAAAAACGTGATCTTGACTACAATTTAAATATCTAATCAGAAAAGTAAAACTGTGTAGCCACAGACAATTTAAGAGTGAAAACAGAAAGCATATTAAATTGATTGATACCCAGAGTGATTTGAGGGGTGGGTTCATCCCCGGCGGCACTGGCTCGCTCTTCCGCTTCCTGAAGGAGTTGTTGGACTTGAGAGAGACGAGCCGAGACTTTTCTGTCGGCATCGGCGTCGGATGCGGCGCAACGAATTCGGGTGAAACTGATTCCACGATTGGGTGTAAGTCGGATGGTTGTGTTAGAGGGAGAGGGAAGAAGAAGACGAGGCGAAGATGATAAGGAAATGGAAGATAGCAGTGGATGATGGAGGAGTTTCATAACCACGTTTGCACTTGTCCTAATAACTGCCATTTCCAACTCTATAAATTGAAATCCAAAATTAGAGTTAAAAGAGAATAGTGCAGAAGTATTGAGGAATTCAAGTGGCTTATATTTTAGGGTAAATTATTAAATTTATCACTCAACTCTATTATCACTCTTATTTTTGTCACTCATATTTAAATAAATTTAATTTAATAATTAAACTTTCAAATGATTCCTGTTTTGGTCACTCCACTGTAAAATCATCGACGGTGTTATGATATGACATTTGTTCAGCTAAAATATAAAATAAATCTTTTTCTCAATATTTCGGGCAAATTGGGTAAATAATCCACCCGGGTGGATTGGATTATTTGGCCCAATAGGGAACTCAAACTTTTAATTTGGGGCCTACGATAATTGCAACAGTCCTTATGGAACTCGTCACGAGTTCCATGAAATATAATTTTTAGTGGGTCGTGTCAGGTGGGCCCCACAGCCAGAATAAATTTAATATATCTTGAGGGACTTGTCACGCTATTAAAAAATATTTTCCCCAAAATTTTTAAAAGAAAATTAAAAAAATAATAATATTTTAATGTTCATGGAAATCGTCGCGCCGGTGTGACGAGTTCTAACGGGTATAATTTTGACTGTTTTGACTGTTGTTCAACTGTCGAATTTTTTTAAAATTTCGATGGAACTCGTCACGCCAGTGTGACGAGTTCCAACAACTATTTTCAGTTTGAAAATACTAGTCGTTGGGTAGAGTAGTATAAATAGAGGTTTAGGTTGGATTGATTTTTCACTTGTAATCAAACATTCTATTGAGAGCAAAAAATTTTGTGTTGAAGAATTTGTGTTGAAATGGCCTCAAGAGAAGAAATGTTATGCCTTGATGATGTTCATATTTCGTCGATCGAGTTGACAACGGTAAGTTTATTTTGTTTTATTTCATTTTAGTTTTGACAAAATTATAGAATTAATAATCATTATTTATGTAATTGTATTAAATAATTTATATTCAAATTGTAGTGAGAAGAATGAACCATTCGTCATTGAGGAATGACGAATGAAGAGCCATATGAGCGGATGGTGCTATATCTTTCACAATCATGATTATATGGAGTGTCATTTCTTCGCGGATTTAAGGTGATGCCGACACTGATATCGGCGTTGATTGAGTGTTGGAGGCCCGAAACACATATGTTTCATTTATCTTGTGGTGAAGTGACGATAACTTTGGAAGATATCGAGTATCAACTTGGCGTTCCGATTAATGGTATGCCATTGGTGTTCACAACACTTATAAGGTAAATAATGTTATTTCAAATTTATTAGGAAAGGAGGCTCCAACCGATGTCATTGATGGGTTGCGGGTACATATGACGTGGTTGGAAAGAGAATTTAGAGTATATGAACAATCAACGGAGCAAGAGGTGATATATGCAGCTCGAGCATATCTTATGATGTTGATTGGAGGGATCTTGCTACCGGATAAATTGGGCAATTTGGTGCACACCCAATATCTTCCGGTAATGGAGGATTTTGCTGTATGTCGCCAATATAGTTGGGGTTCTTCAATTTTGACATTTTTGTATCGTGAACCATGTAAGGCGACCGTAGTCGTTAGAGGAAAAAAAGTGGATGTAGCGTGTTGTTTAGTTTTGCTCTAATCATGGGCGTGGTATCGTATCCCGTTTATAACCCCTATTACATCCGCTCCTATGGAGTTTCCTCTCGCCGCAAGGTAAATTCATATATTTAAAGTTTTGATATTTTATAATATTTTTAAATATTTTAAAAATGACAATAAATAACGTAATTTTTTATATGGCGACACCGAATAGCAGATACAAAGTTGTCGGATGCAACCAAAGTAGATATTCGGATGAGGATTGATATAGCCGGTAGACATGCAGTGTAACACCCCAACCCATACCCGACCCGGATACGAGCCAGAGATATCACATTGACATTTCAAAACCTTTATTCTTGTAAAATAACTGAACATTTGAACTTATATTAAGAAAATACGATCATATATTGTTCAATTGTGTTTGGTATAAAGTTTTGAGATAAAAACGTATTTATGAATAGTGAAATATGGTATGAACAGTACCGTGAACAATAATGAACATTGCTACAGTGCATCGATGCACTGCTATAGTGACTTTCATAAAACGTTCATAAAACTCGTAAAAATTTAACCGTTCATTACTATACAATTGTCATTTACATAAACAGGTTTAAAACATTACAAAACTCAATCGTATGACTTTTCAAAACCGATTAGAACATATCGAATTTAATCCTTTATTTACATGCCAACCACTTTCTTTATTACAAAATACATACTATACATTTCTTTTTTGATCTGATCTTTGGAAAGGAGAACTGACCTGTTTTGCATAACTCTTATCAATCTTCCTCTTCTCAGAACCTACGCATGAAACAATCACACGCTAAGTCTACGACTTAGTGAGGCATATAAAACATATAATATTACCATATAACATTTCGTATAAACAAAAGGTATACATCTGCAAATACTATCATTAATCCATTTTTCTTACCATATATTCATCATATAACACATATATCACTATACTAAGGAATAACATATCATCATGTAATTTCTATAATATATTTTATATTACTAAATATACATACCACATATATTATTTCAAAACAGAACACACATCATATCATATCAATTGATTTATTTACTCTCTTTAAAGTCTATGTATTAGCCCATGTATACTTTTGAGAACTTAAGATATGTGAGTACATTGAGGTTGTGCACCACTATGTTGTCACCACAACTCTTATAAATGTCCCGAAGAACCAGTCCATAGATTCCGAAGAACCTAGGTAATCAGTCCATATGTCCCGAAGAACATAGGTAAACAGTCCATATGTCCCGAAGAACATAGGTAAACAGTCCATATATCCCGAAGAACATAGGTAAACGATCCATATGTCCCGAAGAACAAAGGTAAACAATCCATATGTCCCGAAGAACATAGGTAAACCCTCGACCCTTGGTATGCCAGCTATACCCCTAGCTCTCATATCACATAACATGGGCATTATCATTTATAATAGTTCACATTACTTAATCATATCATTTCTCTTATAAACACATATCTTTTCTTTTCAGTCACGTATCACATGTACGTGTAATCATTGATCTTATAATCACATGTTCCTTTTCTTCTGTCACATACCCATGTATGTGTACACATATATCTAATATCATATAACACGTATCACAAGTGCATGTAATCACGTAAATCGTTTCATATGATTTATATCATTTCACATGCAGTTACATAAACATATATATCATATCTCGTTCACATATATTTTCCCATATAACTCATATAATTTGATTCATATCTTATTCCTATATCATCATATATATGTCATCTATGTTCATTCACTTAATCTCATATATTCACATATGCATTCACATCACAAATTCATATAAGCCTATGTATCTCATGGTTCTTTCACAGGGCTTACTGTCACATTTTTATATCATACATATCATTTAACATATACACTCATAACTCTTTATTTCATATCATGTAATACTCTTACAGAGTATCATATACTCTTATCATGTATTTCATGTAACATGTTCTTGTTTTCATATAGTCACATTTCATATATTCATGTACACATAAACATCACATCATTCACAAATCAAATAACGTTTTAGGAGTCATTTCTCACCATAGTAACTCCGTCACTGGCTCATCGTAAGCCAATGTTTATTCAATAACATAAGTACAATTAAATTGCACTCACCTTAGCCTTGCTTGCTTTGATTCAATCCTAACTCTTCGATTGTTCCGTAACTCATTTAGGCTCGATATCTATATAAATATAATTTTCGAGATGATTATCAAAAGCCTAAACCTTATAACTTGATGTTAATAACTCAAGCTAGTTTAATGAACCAAAATTTCATTTTTCCTTTAGGGTGTATCGATGCACATCGGTACACAAAATAGCTTCAAACTCCCATGCATCGATGCACCCCTTAATGCATCGATGCACATTCAAAAATTATCTTAGTGCATCGGTACATACTCATAGTGTATCGATGCACCTGTCCAAAATAACCCGAAATTCATCAATACTTCACCCAATTTTCATGTATAAAATCCTTATCATGCTACTAAACTCATCTATAACAACTTTAACTAATTTCTATCATTCCAACACTTTATAATCTCCTATAGTTCATCCAAATTCTTAAGGCTAATAATCATACCAAATTTTCCATGTTATCCAAACTTAATTCTAACACTTTTAACTTCTTATTCTCATAGATAACAAGTCAAATTCATCCTCCAAATTCATTTAAACCTTCTTATTCAAAATTCCACCTAAAAACCCATTTTCTTTAATCTTTCGTAACTTCTCCATCTTTTGATTTTAAGATAACTTAAGCTTTCCTTAAGCTTAGTTATCATCTAATGATCAAAACCCGCTCTTAAAATTAACAAATAATCAACAAAATATAAAACTCACCTTTGCTCTAGCTTGGGCACGTTGGAGAAGAGAAGAAGATGACACATGCATCACATGGGTATTATAATACCCACTAAATTTTATTTAATTATTTTTCTTGTTCAATGACCTATTTTCCCTTTGACTCTTTCAATAATTACTAATAACCCTTCAGGAAATTCTTTCACATAAATCATTGAACTTTTCAACTTTTTCACTTTAATCACCAAATTATGAAATTTTACAATTTGATCACTAACCCGTAGTTTGGGATGTTACAAATCTCCCCTCATTTTAAGAAAATTCTTCCTCGAATTTTCATTACACACATTGATAAGAACATATCTCCTAATGTTCTTATGTTGTCTCCTTTACTTACTCTTTCATTCTTTTAGTTCTTCAACTAACTTTTTCCTTTATTCAATCATCTACTGTCGTTTATCATATAAACAGTAACCATTAACCTCATCTATTTTTGTCTTTTTCTCATTCGATTCTGCATTTTCCTTTATACCTTCATATCATGTCACTTATCACATAAACAATAACATCCATTTCCATTATTCAATAT